AGTTACGTAACCGCTTCCAGTGCCTAGAAGATTGCAATGCAGTGGACGATATGAACGACAAGCTCGTGGAAACTGTCCATGCGGTCGGAGCTAAGTTCTGCAAGACCCGCCGCAGAAGAACACAAAAACTCTCCGATCACACTCTTAATCTCATGGCTGTTAGACGGGAGATGAGGCTGCAATCGTCAACAGATTTGACAGCATACAGGCAACTGAACAGACAGATCTCCAAATGCATGCGGCGAGACTTACGCAACTTTAATACTTCTCGTATTAAAGAAGCGATCGAGCGGAACCAGGGCTCCAAAGTCTTTGCCAGAGATCTGTCTGCCAGAAAGAGCCAACTGTCAAGGCTAAAGACTGAGTGTGGCAACATCGTTTCCGGGACACCTGAGATTTTGAGTGAGATTGAGAGGTTCTATGGGCAGCTGTACACATCATCGTTGGAGCCACACGCAAGTGTGAGTAACGATCCAAGAGCAAGTCTTATCCGACACTATTCCGATGATATCCCGGACGTCAGTCTGAGCGAGATTAGAATGGCTCTCCACCACCTTAAAAACGGCAAGGCCCCGGGCGAGGATGGAATTACAGCGGAGCTTCTGAAAGCGGGTGGAAAACCGGTACTTGAAGTCCTTCGGAAGCTCTTCAATTCCGTCCTCCATGGTGGCACTACTCCGGAGGCGTGGAGCAGAAGCGCGGTGGTTTTGTTCTTTAAGAAAGGCGACAACGCTCTCTTGAAGAACTACAGACCGATTTCCCTTCTGAGCCGCGTCTACATGCTATTTTCGAGAGTCATTACGAATCGTCTCGCACGCAGACTCGACGACTTCCAGCCTCCCGAACAAGCCGGTTTCCGAAAAGGCTTCAGTACCATAGACCACATACATACCCTGCGGCAGATTGTACAGAAGACCGAAGAGTACAATCTGCCACTTTGCCTGGCATATGTGGACTATGAGAAAGCCTTTGATTCCGTCGAAATTTGGGCGGTGCTACAGTCCCTTCAGCGGTGCCAAGTTGACTGTCGGTACATCGAAGTGCTGAAGTGTTTGTACAGTAGGGCTACGATGGCTATCCGAGTACAGAACCAGAGTTCGAAACCTATCCAACTGCAGAGAGGTGTAAGACAGGGTGATGTTATATCCCCGAAACTCTTCACCGCTGCGTTGGAAGACGTTTTCAAGCTACTGGACTGGAAAGGATACGGTATTAACATCAATGGCGAGTACATCACTCACCTTCGATTTGCCGACGATATAGTCATTATGGCAGAATCGCTGGAGGACTTAAGCATTATGCTCAATGACCTCAATAGTGTCTCCCAACGGATAGGTCTTAAGATGAACATGGACAAAACAAAGATCATGTTTAATGTCCATGTCACACCTATGCCGGTAGTTGTTGGGAGCACTATGCTCGAAGTTGTTGACGAGTACGTTTACCTGGGACAAATAGTCCGACTAGGTAAGTCCAACTTCGACCGAGAGGTCAATCGACGGATTCAACTCGGCTGGGCAGCGTTCGGGAAATTACGATATATCTTTTCGTCAGGTATACCTCAATCTCTAAAAAATAGATTGTACAACCAGTGCGTGTTGCCAGTGATGACTTACGGATCTGAGACGTGGTCCTTCACTGCTGGCCGTATGAGGACGCTTAAGGTCGCTCAGCGAGCTATGGAGAGGGCTATGCTTGGAGTTTCTCTGCGTGATAGACTCAGAAATGAGGATATCCGCAGTAAAACCAGAGTGATCGATATAGCCCAACGGATTAGTAAGCTGAAGTGGCAATGGGCCGGCCATATAGCTCGAAGAACCGATAACCGATGGGGAAGAAAGGTTCTCGAGTGGCAGCCTCGTACCGGTAGGCGTAGTGTAGGGCGACCCCCCACTAGATGGAGTGACGACCTGGTAAGACATGCAGGAAGTCGATGGATGCAGGTGGCTCAGGACCGTGCTTTGTGGCATTACTTGGGGGAGGCCTATGTTCAGCAGTGGACTTGTGAAGGGCTGTAATGATGATGATAATGATGACTTCGCGATAATCTATTATATTAGTTATAACAAAATGATGTGTTTTACCTAGTGTGAAGAGTACCTCCGGCCCTCTCTCTCAATTGCGTGCACTAATCCCGTCATCAATTATCCCAGCACCACTACTCCCCACACTGCTGCACTAGGAAAGACACAGCATCGAAGATAATACGACACTTGTTTCACCAATACACAAGGCATCCTCAGGTGATGTATACATCACGTTATTTTATTGAGCGAATTTTTCAGGAAAATGTCAAAACTCGTTAGAATTTCCAGGGTAAAGTCAAAGCTACCTAGAATAAATGCTGTGCAGAGCGAAAATGGCTGCATTTTGTTGGATGAAGTTTCGAGTTTAAAGAAACGGAAGTAATACTTTTAAATATTAAAAATGTAAATGTGAGGACGTATCTAAATGGATAATCAAGAAACTGTTTAAGGAGAAGAAAAAGTTCTAATATAAGTATCCTATGTATGAAATAATTAAAACAATAAAAGGCACTAAAGCGAGTAAAGTAGCTGGGTATCAATGGTACTATGGTTTCATTTGGTATCTATGGTATCATATGGTATCATATGGTATCATTAGAAACGCTGAGGGTTAAAGAGGAAGTGAACTAAGCCTGCCGTGCAAATTCTTTAATGTTTATTGAAAACTTAAGCGAGTATCGGGATACTGTTGTAAAGTAATGAAAGGGAACGTTAGTAAGACGAAAGTGATGGCTTTTGAAGTTGGTAATGGTAAAACAACATGTGAAATAAGAGTAGAAGGGGATTTAGTTCAGCAACTTGATAGATATTTTTGTAGATATACATGACAAGTATATAAAATGAAAAGTGAATTCTGGACGCAGAGTCAATGGAGCTTGTTACTTCATAGTGGGAATATACTATACTTCAAAATGTATTAAAAAGTTACATGTGACTATAAAAATGCTGTGTTACAAACTTTAATGTTTGTGTGTGACAGAAGAAGAATAACTATATATAATAAGGAGTCTGTAAGGACTGACTCTGAACAATAGCATAGATATCGTGTGATTTGCAAGAAGATGCTGTGACTAAGGTTAAAAAAGAAATGCTTCGATTCTGGAAATGTAAAAATATTGAAATAGTGAAAAAGCTAATTTATGATGCAGAAGTGAGTGGTAGAGTTGGCAAGTAACGCACTAAATGGAAGGTTATCGACTAAATTGCCGATATATTACAGACGAGTCAATCCAAGAGTGCCTTTAATCGACAAGAATGGATAATGTAGAAATATGGATGTGAAAGAGGAAAGAGAGACAGACGTGTCAAAATCGTGCCAAATGGAGATCCGTGGTCTTCGCCTACCCTCTAGGTAACACGAGCGAGGATTTATTTTATCCTATATTATTATTATTAAAAGCCTATAAGAAACAAAAAAAAAACTTAAAATGGAAGACTGACAAATTTAAAACTTGTTTTTTAAAAAAATATGAAATATTGTTTGTATTTTAAAGTACAAGTTATTATATATCACAAAAAATTTTTGATGTTAAGAAAATCACATACAAAATACCTGCTGTCACTACACCATAAAGCAATGACTTTTTGGTAACATTATATTGATGGTTTAGAATTAGCTCAGGTAATATATACTGTTGATGATTTTAAAAGGTTCTAACAATTTAACTTTTTGGTAACATTATATTGATGGTTTAGAATTAGCTCAGGTAATATATACTGTTGATGATTTTAAAAGGTTCTAACAATTTAACTTTTGGGTAACATTATATTGATGGTTTAGAATTAGCTCAGGTAATATATACTGTTGATGATTTTAAAAGGTTCTAACAATTTAACTTTTTGGTAACATTATATTGATGGTTTAGAATTAGCTCAGGTAATATATACTGTTTATAATTTTAAAAGGTTCTAACAATTTAACTTTTCACGTTATTGATGTTGACAAAATATTATGAGGGACGGCCCGACAGTATACTTGTATTTAAACACATATTAGGTATTAATCATTATACAGCTGTTTTAATAACCAAAAAGAAATAAAGTAATTTTATACAAATCAAAGTTATGTACAAATACTACGAGTAGATGAAAATGCGAATCATAATAATTGGCTTGAACAAAATCATGCAGATGACACTAAATCTCTACTTAAATGTGCACTGTAATATAATAAAAAACTGTATGCCCTCTGCATTTCCATTACATTTAATTGTCTGTTTGTCAGTATTAGCTTTATATTTTCGATTGAATATCAAAATAAGTCAACCACCTCATACATTACTTTTATGTTGTAACGTTTAAGTAACTAACGATATAAAATAAAAACCTATATTTGTGAAAATATAATATGCATTTGTATTGACATCGTAATTACTTGTAAGTGTGTTGTAAATACCTTGATTGATAGTAACTTACTTTACATTTGTATTTTTATTCAGCAGATAAAATCCAACAAATTTCTTTCAATTTATATTCACTATCCAAGATCAATTGATATTTAATTTTTAAAAAGTTTTACTTGTTACGATTTTATACTAAAAGTGGCAAACAGTCATTATTTTACTCATATGTACGTGTGAATTCACACCTACATGGTGCAGAATTTGTTTGCTATATTATTTATTATATGTATTTATTGTTTCTAAATATTTTTAAGGAACGACAAAGTTATAGCTACAAACTTATTCTTGATTAGGAACGAAAGTTTTTGGATTAAATTAATTTATGAATAGAATAGAAAAATATATGATTTTTAAAAAGTGTATAATAAATAATGTTTTGAATAATTGTTATTTATTATATATTCAAATTCAATCTGCTTTTTCTATTTTAGTAGTGCTTTAACATAAATTGAAGTTGTATTAAGGATGTTCTGAGTCCAATCATGATTTTATCGTCTTGCATGCATAAAAGGCGAATTCTTCATACTTATACCGTTACTTATGCCTAAAGTAGGAATAATAATTTAACTACCTATTCCGTGATAAGTAGCGCGGGAAACTCAACTGTATCCATAGAAGTGTAAGTATTTAAAAAGTAATAATATCTTCCTCTAAGTTCAATGAACACAACACTGATAAGAGCACTGCACAGAGCGAGGTCCCCGTCGGGATGCGGGCGCGTCAGTAGTTCTGGGCGGGCGGCGCGCGGGCGGGCGAGTGCCGCGGGCGGGGCCGGGCGCACTCGCTCGTGCGGCGCGACGCGGCGCGATGCCGGCGGGCGCTCGGCCGGGGGCGCGCCGGCGACTGGCGGGTGGCGGCCGCACGGGCGCAGCGGCGCGCGCCGGCCCCCGCCTGCAGCACCCGCCCGCCCTCGCGCCGCACGCAACCCACTCCCCGGCCCGCGGTGCCCTACGCAGCATTGCGCCGCTCGACCTTCGGACTTTCACACGCCTTTCACGCTATCGGCTATAAAAAGTACGCTCGTAAATGTCTATCGGACTGTTAGAGGCGAACTCTCGCAACTTATGAGTGAAAAGGATTCACTACCATTTCATTTCAATTTTCTAATCAAAATTTAATGGCTTGGCCCACTGATATGACGCCTCGAAGATACGATAAATAGACAATTTATCATCAACATCATCTTGTCAAAACCTTACTAGAGTAGACTATTTGGCTCGATCTTGATATCATGTGTCTAGACTAGACAAAGATAACACATTAATAACTCTTTTTAGCCGGAAAATACACTAAGCGTTAACGTAGTGTCAGAACTCCATAAAAATACGTAATTTTCACTTCAAGACACGTTAAATCTGTATCCGTTTCATTCACGGTCTTCGAAAGTATGACCACATCTCTTTCTATCGCTCTCAACTTAAATGGTTAAATATCCCACAACGCAGGAGCCTTAGAATTCTTAGCACTCTGTTCACTATTCTTAACGATCCATTGGCCCCAGAGTATTTGAAATGTAAGTTTCAATACCTGGGTTCTTCCCATGATTGCAATCTTCGCTCTCGTAACAATCTCGTGCTCCATACACCGTACTGGTTTCCTCTCAAACTCTTTTGCTGTTACAGCTGTAAGACTCTGGAATGCGCTTTCCCTATCAATAAGAAAATCCCCTAACAAGTGGATTTTTAAAAGGAAAGGAACATTATTTGGGTTCATCTGACACATGAATATATAAATAATCTGTAACAATTAATCTATTAGATCCTTATTTATATTTAATTAAATTTGAGCTACAGGTATGTGGGGGTGTACGTGTATGTGAAATTTATCTATTTTAGGTTTAATCCTAGCCCACTGCAGTACACATATCTCCCACTAACTTTCCGGTTGGCTGGTAGAAAATGCCATATGGCATTAAGTCCGCCGTTTGTACCTTTAATACAATAAAGTGTATAAATAAATAAATCCAAGCATTATCTCTTCTAAGACAAGTGTCAATGAGGCACTGCCTCTTAAATTTTCTGATATGAACTGTAGTTTTTGTCTTTTCTTGAGTATATTTCCTCTTTTCGAATCATATTCACTAGAAAAACCTTGCGTATAGTTTTAATTGTTCACTTTAAACTAAAGAAAAATTGTCGTTGATTTGCACAATTATTCGATTCGATAGGTTAACACAGAAAGGACACACCGATGAGAAAACTTGGACTTAAAATTTTATAAAACTGGTGGCGTCGAAAGAAAAAAAAGTAGTTTCTTTATCTTATATATATAGTTACTTACACTCCAAGCAAACGTTTTATTACTTGAAGTGTTCTGATTCATCATAACTAACGTCAGTTAGTTATTCGATGAAATAAAACCAAAAAAAAAAATATTTTGGCTACCAAGCTTTTCTAAAATGTTTGAAAAAGTTATTCATGATAAAGATGAATTTTGTTAATGTTCATAAAAATTTAAATCCTTATCAATGTGGAATTTATATACAATGTGTCCGGTTTCCGATGTCCGATACTTTAAGGGGTTAAAATACAATTAATTTTATCGACAAATCAGGGATCAATGATTTTTTTTCGCCATCAATAAAAAAATGGCAGCACTTTAAAAAAAATTGTTGGCGAAGCATAGATGCTTGTATTAATTTAACAATATCTACCCAAGTAGAAGACTTTCAAAAACAAAATTGGTCTCAAATGTTAGTTAATAGTGTAGACAATAAATCGAGATTCAAAATATTATTTTTTAATTTTTCAGTATTAGTAAAAAACATTTTTGAAAAAATAAATTAGACAACAAATTGATGTTGTTTTTCAGATTCTTAGCTTTAAAAAAAACCATCGTGTTAACCAATTTTTTTTACTTGTTTTTATTATAATACAGGATATTTGCTATAAATGCACATTTAAATCTTAACTCTGAGTTAGATAGTTTAGGAGCTATGATAGTGTAAACATACTTACTTGAAAAGCGCGGATACACTAGCAAATGAAATAAAACAAAATAATTTATATCAATTGCATTTAATTTGGCAAAATAATTACAAAAACTGCTCAAAGTGACCTCCTTGTCTCTGCAGACATGCTGTTGCTCTTAGTGCAACGTATTGCGTAGAGCGCTGGATCATTGCCTTGTCTTCTTGCAATTCGTTTGCTGCTTGAATTATTTTTTCTGCTAACTCCTCTCGTGTATTTGGCACATTTACATACACTCTTCGTTTGAATGTGCCCCACAAAAAAAATCGAGAGGTGTTAAATCAGGCGACCGCGGTGGCCAAGCAATTGTTCCTCCGCGTCCGATCCACGACAAATAGTGTGCATTTAAATGATTCCGCACAAGAAGCGCGAAGTGTGCCGGAGCACATCCAATTGCAGAATCATTCTGGCCCTGTAGGCCAATGGTAACTCCAATAAAGCATCCAAAAAAATTCGTTTCCAGGAAATTTAGGAATCTTGGGCTATTCATTGTCTCCGGTAAAATGATTGGTCCAATTAGAATGTCGTCAATCATTCCGGCCCAAACGTTGACAGAAAATTTATGTTGAAAAGAACTTGGGCGGATCGCATGTGGATTTTCTTGAAGCCACAAGTGTTCGCTACGGTAGTTCGTATACCCTGATCGCGTGAAAGTAGCTTCGTCTGTCCACATAATTCTTTTTAAAAAGTTTGGATCATATCGCGTTTCTCTCAATATCCACGAACAAAATATTGCTCTTCTTACATAATCCGGTTTCAGTATTTCTTGCACCCTTCGAAAATGGTAAGGATGTAATCCTTCTCTTTTTAAAATTTTCCACACCGACCATTTTGATAGACTGAGACGATTAGCTATGCGTCTAATGCTCAGGCTAGGGTCTTGAGTAATCATTTGCAATATTTGATGTTCATCTTGGAGCGACAAAACACGAGTACGTTCGTTACCGAACCTTCTTATTCCATTTTCCGCAAGTCTCAAATGAATTCTCACGAAAGTGAGAGCATTCGGCGTACGTCTGTTAGGAAATCTGCGTGCATACTCTACAACAGCTCTATTTGCACTCCCGTTACACAATCCATACACGAAATGGATGTCAGCGATATGCTGGCTTGAGTACTCGTTCATTGTAATAAACAAAAAGTAACAGTTCAACAACAAAACAAAAACGTAACAAAGTCTAACAACAAACAATAATTATGTACAGTAAGTAGATTTAATTAAAACCAGGAATGTTATCACAACGCAGAGCGAGGGACGACTGCTCGACGGCACAAGCACACACTGCACCCTTTTTACCTGGAGACAGCCGTTAGCTGTCTCGCTCGCACTGTTGTGCACAGCGTTTTTTACATGCTCACACAAAGGATGCTATTGTGTTTGCTTACGATTCCTCGAATTATTGAAGAATTTTATCATACTCACTGGAATGGGTGTTTAGTTATCTAATATCGGGGTAGAGGCACTTTGAACAGTTACATTCAAATTATCATAGCTCCTAAACTATCTAACTCAGAGTTAAGATTTAAATGTGCATTTATAGCAAATATCCTGTATTATAATAAAAACAAGTAAAAAAAATTGGTTAACACGATGGTTTTTTTTAAAGCTAAGAATCTGAAAAACAACATCAATTTTTTGTCTAATTTATTTTTTCAAAAATATTTTTTACTAATACTGAAAAATTAAAAAATAATATTTTGAATCTAGATTTATTGTCTACACTATTAACTAACATTTGAGACCAATTTTGTTTTTGAAAGTCTTCTACTTGGATAGATATTTATTATTATAGATAGCAGTTTTTGCCAACGATGCTACAGTTTTTTTTTATACTAGAAATCTATATAAAAAATTAAAGAAGTAAAATTATTCGATTTAATTATAGTTATAATAGTAACTTACATGGCATGGAAATAATAAAATATAATAATAAAAAAACTAAACTAATAACTTAATTATTAAACACTATTACTCCCCATTTTATCGTGCCAAGAACGCTGGCTGAGTTTCTTCGCTAAACAGCTATACCTTAGCCTTTGAGCGAGAAAAGAACCAGCCCTCTTATTACTAGCAGCAACGACCAGTCGTGGATAGAGTTCCTTTAGGACCCTACGGACCGATAGTATCTACATCAAATGGAGCAAATATGTAGTTATCTCTCAAAGACTCATATTGCGTCGCTTACTCAATTCAGCTGATGCCCTCTCCCCCATTTTAGACGAAGTACCGCTGGGATGAGCGGCCGCCGAAGTATCACCGCAAGTAGCATCCCACACTAGGTTTATCTCTCTCCTAAGGGACCAATCTCACCCACGGGTCTCTTGCCATCGTCTCTAAATATTCCACAAGGTTATAAAACCGAGGGAACATTTATATAGACAAGAGCTCTTCGAATGACATCGTTCAAAGAACCGTGCCTACAAGCACTTTTCTTTAATGAAAGTCCGTGGAGCCTAAACTCGTCCACACTGCTACTACGGGGGCACTGACGTAGTTGACAAATCGCCGCTCCTAGTCGGATTCCCACGGCGAAGCGTAAGCTTTCTGGATCAAGTAATATGCCGAGATTATTTGATGGCAACGCGTGTAACCAGTGGCTAGATTCCTGAGTCTAAACAGCTAGAGGGCGAGCCTAATCCTGGTCACTATGGGAATAACGAAACAATTCTTTCTGCACACTCCGTACCAACGGCATATTTCGCTTTTTTTTTTTTGTTGGTTAACTCACAGTGAAACATTCCATCAGTAATTTCCGGAACATGTGCAGAAACACTGTCAGGATTAATTATTGTTATTATTTTTTTATTATTTATTATGTACAAAAAAACCTATATGAACTCAACAAAAATAATCGTCGCGACACCACACTGTTCAATATCAAATGCAAAATATAAAGACGACACGAAAACAACTGGCTTGCTTTCTATGAGAGAGAGAGAGAGAGAGAACGCGCACGCCGCACGGCTTACAACTACAGCAAGAAGTATCG